GCGGTGGAAGGCGGTTGGTGAGGAGGGCGGCATGAGATGGATGCTGCCATCGCAACCAGAGGCTTCCGTACAGACGAACACAATACAGGCTTGGGGAGTTTGATATTGTAGATATAACCTAAGGCCGAGAGGGGATACCACAGTCTTGCTCATAGTAGTCAGGCAGGCATTGTCGCGGCCAGCCAGGTGAGCAAATAATTTCCGTCGCAGTTTGGTAGCCAGAAGGTTTGCAGAACTTCACGACCTTCCAACATGACATCTTCGTCCTCCGGTGAATTTGTTGCCAGAAAGGGACTCTTACTACGTCAACAGCTGCAAATCGTCTTGCTGAGAGTCTGGCCATTTCGTCTCGGGCACCTGGTCGAAAAACGGTCTGATGCGTGTGCTCTCAACGTCCGAATTCCGAATTGTCTGGTTTCGAACAGCTTCGGCTGTAAATTGAACTTTCAACCTGAGTGGTACACCCTCATATGTGGGAGTGAATTCGCTGCAGCCTTTTGCGGGCTTGTTACACCGGCAAGATTGGTATAACCGAAGGACCCAAATCGGGTAGAGCTGTGTAGAGGCGACAGCACTCGCAAAGTCGACGACTGGCACCACACCACCGTCATCACCACCACAACTCGATAACGGCGGCGAGTGAGAGGGCCAAGGATATCAAAACGACGTGTTTGGGCCTGGGCCATGGCAATACTCAGGCATGCTGACACAGTGTGGCATCTAGGGGTGGCAGTCCGCTGCATTCCCGAACCCCACTTCCTCAACTCTTCATCCCGTCCCAAACCTGAACCTCGCTGAGTCTTTGGTGCGAATGCTTGCCCCCAGCAAACATGACATGCGCTCGACTCTCAGATTTGAACCTCAAGCCATCAGCCCCAATACATCCCCTTGGCCCGTCGTCTTCAAACAACAAACTAGGCATCTGCTCTCTGAGCCACAAGCCCAACTTGAAGATCAAAGTCTGCGCCTGGACGAGCCGCCGGGGGAGAGTCTTCGGGAGAGTTTTGGGGTGCAGGGGTGCCAAACCTGGAACTTTTTTTTGACTCAAATGTGCGTATGAGTAGGGGTACGGAATAGAGCAACTATATATTCAGGTCCTTAAACCCTGACAGAGCCCTGTACGGAATACTCTTTTTGGGGTAGGCTAAAGAACAAGTGCCGTACTACAGTAGGGACCCAACAAAGGGACCCTAATTTTGACAACCACCCATATGCGTATTCGGACCTCTGCATTCTTTGTACTCCCCGGCCTCGCCCGGTTGCAACTCACGGGTTCGAAGGAACCGCCGCAACTGGGTAGCAGGCTCCTCTCGAAGGCCGAAACAAACTCCCGGAATAGCTTTACGGCTCAGAGCTCGAGGTTGCGAAAAGATTTCATAAGGTTTGAGAGTGTTCTGTTTTGGGACTGTTTATATACTTATTTCTCTTAGATGCTTTTTGGGGGAATGTCTGTTAGGACGGGGTTGCACCGGCTTTGGCCACAGGAAGCTCCAGAACGAAGGGTCCGTGCAAGTCTGCTCTTGAAGCTTCGAGTCCCATGTGGCTTCCTGCGGCTGCAGTTTGGGAATTTCGGGTTTAGAGATTAGGGTTTGGGGATTAGGAATGATTTGGAATTGGGGATTGGTTGACGGTTTATAAGGATTAGGGCTTAGATACGGAATAAGGTTTAGGGAGTAGGGTTAGGGCTTTGGGGGCTCATGGGGGCTCAAGCCTTTGCCAGGGAACCATAAGACAACAAGTACAAAAACTCTTGAACCCAGGAACTCCAATATACTCCAATTCTCCCAGCCTGCAGTCGTTGATGAAAGGACCCACGAAGAAAGCCCCCCCCCCCCCCCCCCAAAACGAGGGATTGTGGCAGCAATCGAAGCGGCACGTCCTGCGCAATCTCCGGAATCGTCGAGGGATATCCTGGCAGAGCCGTCGGCTGGATCTTTCGGATTACGGTTTGTGTGTGTGTGTGTGTCCACCCCTGTTTCGAAGGGTAGGCAAATCTGAGTCGAATGAGCAGGGGGCCCGGAGAGCCCGAGTGAGGTCCGGGCCAACGAAGACCCTCACTCGGTGCTCGTGTAAACGTACCTGCAAATCAGTAACCCTAGAGCGCTTCAGATCACAGGTTCTGACTTCTCCTGACAGACTTTCCCTGACAGTATGCACCGACAGATCAGACCTGCGACACGATGTGTCAAGTGTGCTTCACAACGGCATTCCCTATGGGCGCCGTGTCTCCCAGAGGTAGCTCTGGCGCTGACTTTCCCGATTGACTGTATAAGCATTGGATGACTTTCCCTGATTCTATATCCGTGCTTGCAAGCTGACTTTCTCAGTGAGTCTTTCCCAAATGCCTTTGCCGAAACCTGAATGCTGACTTTCCCACTGATTTTCTATGATCTGATTGACTTTCCCGAACCTGACTTCACCGCTGACTTGTCGCAGGTCTTCGGCTGCAAGTTGAGTACATGAGCTGTACTTTTGGTAGTTGCTGATCAATTTGCCACGCGCTTTCAGTCATCTGTTTTGCAATGAGCCTGGAGACCCGTAACCTAGAGTGACGGTTTGTATGCTTTCAGTCATCTGTCTTGCGATGCGCTGTACATGCGATAAACTTTGCAGGGGCAGTGCAAGTGAGTGCGTGTCGTCGTGCAAGTTTTGTGCAAGTGTCAGTTTAGCAAACGTTTTTCTTCTGTGGTGAATGCGTGCATGCCTACATGCGTTCGGAGTGCGCATCTTGCTGCTTTACTGCATTGAAAGTGTCGTGCTGGTGGAGCGAGCTGTGGTTTCTGGTGGCCCGGTGGAGCATTGGAGCTGCTGGTGGTGGAGCTTTGGTTCCTGGTGGTCTGGTGGCGATCTGGACAAGTGAGTGCGCATTGTCATGCAAGTGCTGGGCAAGTGATTGCATTGTCATGCATGTGTTATGTTCGTGAGTGCTTCCTGTCAGTAAGTTCGAAAGAGCATGTGTATGTCAACCGGTGTTTCGAACGGATGCAATGAGCCCGGGAGGGCTTGTGTGTGTCCACCCCTGTTTCGAAGGGTAGGCAAATCTGAGTCGAATGAGCAGGGGGCCCGGAGAGCCCGAGTGAGGTCCGGGCCAACGAAGACCCTCACTCGGTGCTCGTGTAAACGTACCTGCAAATCAGTAACCCTAGAGCGCTTCAGATCACAGGTTCTGACTTCTCCTGACAGACTTTCCCTGACAGTATGCACCGACAGATCAGACCTGCGACACGATGTGTCAAGTGTGTGTGTGTGTGTGCGTGTGCGTGCGTGTTTACTTACAGGGTCTTCCAGGGATGTTGTCAAGTCTCACACGGGTTCGCTTGCTGCTGATTCAGGCTCTGTATTGGAGGCCTATTAGGCCTTGAGGGGATGTACCGAACTTTGCGAGGTCCTTCTATGAACCAAGGCCAAGAGAGTATGTAGAATACTTAACGGTCAGAGATCCCAATACCTTTTCACGACCAACTATGCGCTTCAACACTGCAACCTCAGAGGTATTTCCTGTCCCAGTAGTGCCCTCTCAAAGTGACAGGGCCCTATACCTTGATTAGTTCTTGATGAGGAACACCTAAGTGAAGGCAATCCTCATCGATCTGGCTAGGCTTTATTGGGCACATCTACAAAAGAACAACCCTGCGTTCTATTCGGGCTAGGATGTAATGTACGGGCTTTAATAATTAGAATAGGGCTTTGGGCTCCTTTATAGTATAGGGATAATAAGGAACCGAATCAATATTCCGGTAAACTTTCAAGCTTCCTTCTTAAAGAGGTTATAGGCCTGGGGTTGAGGGTATTTGATCTTGCTGCTCCGGGTCTAAGAAGCCGGAAGAGTTCAACGTGGTGGAGTTTGGGATTCAGCTTTCAGAGCATTTAGGGTTCACTCGGGTTTCGGGAGTTCATAGAACTGTGGGGATCTGCGCCGGGAGCGTACATCCTAATTGAATGACTGAACACCTTGAAAGAAAAGTCGGGGTCTGAAGTCTGAAGTTTATGCAATCCAGCAACCCCGAATCCCGAACCCCAGACCGGCAACCCCAGTTTGGGACAGGCTAGGCTCAGACAGTGGATTGTCCCATGGCGCAGGCAATCACCTGTCCAACTCGCCCCGAACGTGTGGACCGTTTGACTTCCAGGAGGCCTATGAGAGGCTTACAGGGGGTGTCATCAGGGCCTCAGAATGGCAATACCAAGGGAACTGGGAATGAGAAGGGCGGCGCCTTTTGTTCCGGCCTCTCGCAGCGCTGAGAGTTGAATTCTGCACTGTTCATTTGCAGAGGCAATTTGGGCCTGTGAGCCAGCGTCAGGAGTTTAGGTGATATATAGAGGCCTTAAGAATTAGAGTGTAGGGTTCCTCCAAAGGGTTCTATAAGGGATCTATAATTGGGGTTTGTGATCTACGGGCCTTAATAATCAATTAGAATAGGGTTTCGGGGTAAATCATACCATAACTGTAACAAGGACCCCCCAAAAATAGTATGGGCAATTATTTAATGGGTAATTATACAAGCGCCAGGAGTAGAGACCCTGAGAATGCAATGTTAGATCTTCGTGACAGACATGCCATAGGCCTCGGGTGGCTGGGCTCTGGTTGTGAAGCATATAAGTGAACCGTGATAATCGATTTTGCAGCCAGCTCCGAGAAAACTGCATGCAACTCCTGCCTGAACCCCCGAACAACCACCCACATTATGGGAGCTTCCGAAAATTAAGGGTACCTTATTGTGGGGTCCTTATAATAAGGGTCCTACTATTGTATCAGGCTCCCCTGTCCTGGCACTCCTTGGGGCAACTTTGGCCCTGCGCTGAGGATTTAAGTAGCCATGACCCAAGCAACTCCGCAATCCTGGATGAAGCCGAGATCAGTTTGAACCAATATTTTTGGAGTCTGTGGAAACCCTAAACACCCGCCTTCTCTAGCCTCTGTGCAACAGGCCCACACCTACATGACATTAAGCCCCAAGCCCTCAGAAGGGATAGATCTTAAACCCTAAACCCCATAATCCTCAGCAGGGGTAAATCATCAGCAGACCCACTGCTTGCCGGTGGATCAGCGTCGGCGGCGTTGGCTCCTGGCCTCATGAAAACCCGGAGAAGCCAAGTCAAGGCTTACGGGACTTTGGCACTTAAACTCTTTAAAGTAATGCTGTAATGCCTGTCTGGCATTTTACATAGGGTTTAGGCTTTTGGGCTTAGGGTTTCGGGACTTTGGCATTCAAAACCAGGGCCTAATTAGGATACTGTAGCGGTTTGGGTCTAGGTTTAGTTGGGGCATTTAGAGATATGTAAGGCTGAAGCTTTCGGTGCTCACTCTCGTACATGCCAGGCGAGCTTTTAGTGGGTTGGGGAATTTGCAATTTCGCAGAGTACACGTATAGGACTTTTAGGTTTTACTGTCGGCATTCGCGCTCGAACAATACAGGCCAGGATTGGGACACCAAACTGATTTCAAGAGGTGCGGGCTGGTATGTTAGCCTCGTGGCAGCTCAACAGAACTTTCCGGGTTTAGCTGACAACGTCATGAAGAAGGTTTGGATTTAGCAGACTCAAATGCTGCAGAAGCCTTACAGGGCACATCTTGGGGCAGCGAGCCGGAAATATCCTTGAGTCTTGAACAATCACCCATGCTCGTCCTTAGAGCTCCGAAACATGCTTGTACTTACACTCCAACATACCCCAAACCCTATTCCCGTTGTTGAGCCCCCTATACCAAACCCTTATATACTCCCTAAACAAAACGAAACTTATAGTAATCCCCGTATAGAAGCCGTCAAAGAAACGCTATTCTGATGATCAAGGCCCCTACACATGCCCATGCTAAGATATTGCCAGGGCTATAAAGTCTTTGGTGCCTGAGCTTCCGGGCCGCGGAACACTTCATACGGTCCAAAGTCTAAAGTGTTAACAAACAAAGCCGGACGTGCCGCAGAGTCTCGAGCTGAACAGATGGGGGATAGGATAAACGGCGCTGAGTAACAGGAGGATCTTCTTCATACAATATATCGCACCCACCTAGTCTTGTAATTGTACATGTCATGCAAAAAGCCAAAACACGAGCACTTCTTTACGCAGCCTTTAGCGGACCTTTGAGAACGCAGAGTCGGCCTTCCAGCTCGTCATGATCCACAGGCTCTGGGATAGTATTGCCTGCTTGTTAACTTACCATTGGTTAGTAGGGAATGGAAAAATGGTAGTAATAGTAGTTTTCATTGTACCCCATTCCTCCATTCCCTACTATCCAAAAGTAAGTTATCTGGCTATGTAAGGTTGAGTTGGATTTCAGGTCTTGGATTGGGCTTTGCAGCTTTGGGTGTGGGGTTCGGTATCACTTTGGTTGAGCGCAACGTCTACAATGACAACAATCGGGTCAAACCATGGTGCTCTCAAAACCTACAATTTGGGGCTCAGGTTCTTATAGGGTCAGGCTTCGACATTGCTTAGTAAGGCGTTACGGCGTCAGGGTTTTGGGATCAAGGATTTACGCGAAATGGGAGCTGAATACTCAGAAACATGTTCGTGGGGTTCACTGCTGTGTACATATAGGCATATAGGTAGATAAACAGATAGAGAGAGAGAGAGAGAGAGAGAGAGAGAAATTGATAGATCGATAGGTAGAGATGAGAAAGGCAGAGAAAGAGATATAGAGAAGTTCCTGAACACACTTCGCAGACAAAATCATCCCCAACACTCCGGCCTGGGATCTGAAATTCGAGATCCAGGACATAAGGGGCACTGATGTAATCCGAGAGTAGTTTACTCCTTCTTCTACACACCCGGAAACCGGCACCCCTAATTCCCTGGAGCGTGCAATGCAGATGAATCAGGCGACCTGCAATTTTCTGCGGTCTAGACAAGATATGCTCCAAAGTTTATCCTATATTTAAACCCTGTGAAGACTTTAGCCTAAACTCAAAAAACCAAAGGAACATCCAGTCCGCAAGTCACCGTTTTGTCTTTGGGGGGCCTCATTCAAGAGGTAGGATGAAAGTTGGGATTAGGATCCCTTATGTACGGACTCTCATCTGTGACACCTTCCTTCACCCGATTCCTGCAGCTTAAACCCCCGAAACCTTACACCCTACATCCAAAAACCTCCCCCCCAAACCCGTAAACCCCAAAACCTAAAACTTAATCCCACCTCTTGAGCCTTCAACTCTACACGGACTACCCCAAAACCTTAAACCATAAACCCTCAGCCCTAACCCCTAAGCCCTAACCCATTGAGCCCCTTAATCAGGCTTTCGGGAAAGGATGTCGACGTGTCAAGCCTGAAGCACCAAGCACGGCCATGCCAAGTCCAACTCCTCCGTAGAGCCTCTCCTTGGAAAGGGCCGTTTTGGACGAGGCTTTTATGTTGTAGGGTTTAGGGTTTAGGATTAGGATTAGGGTTTGAGGGTTTAAGGTTTAGGATCAGGGTTTCAGGGTTTATAGGGTTTAGGAAAGGAAGGAACGTAATACAGCACCTTTGGGGCCCATTATACTGCTAGCTCGATATATATATATATATATATATATATAATAATAGTAATAATAATAATGATAATAATAATAATAATAAGGAACCCCCAAGACAGTAAAGGTAATTATTGAGGTCCCCATAGTAAGCTGGTAGATTGCTGTAAGCAGGAAGGATGCTCTTGGCAGGCTCCTGTAAACGGGCTTTGCGCGGAGGGTTTGGGCACCTTTACAGCCCTTTGGCTTTCTGGGTTTTTAGTTGTTGGGAGTTGGTTTAAAGCTGATATATCATACAACAGAGGCCAAGCATCTAGAATTCAGGTTTGGAGGTCAAGGGTTTGGGTTAGGGATCCTGTAATTAAGGGGCCAACTAATCTGAGAGGGGTCAAGAAATTGCCCTCAACCCTCTCCCGTGGGCTCAGGATGTCGTAGCAAACTTCAGAAGCCCCCAAAAAACCTCTCAAGTCATTCAAATCAAGGCCTTGCAATGCCTAGAACCATTCGCGAGGGCAACCTCAACCTTCCATCCGAAAGCATAGGCTTTCATGAGTTTTATGTCAGCGCTTCACAGGACGCTTTGAGGTTCACTTCCCATGTTAGCCATGAGCCCTAATTTGTCTATACCCTTTTAGAGTAGGGGCTGCAATGTACGTTGCCCTGATCCTTTACCTGATGCAAAGTCTGTTTGCAAACCCCCAAACCTGAACTCTTGAAGCAGTGGCGCACAACCGAGATCCCAAAGCAGTCAGCTGTCAATCCCTGGCCCGGCCTTATGCCAGTTCATGCTCTCCTGCAGCCAAGATGCATCGCGGATGCTCTCGGTCGGGCCATCACCTCCTCCTGTCAGGGGGTAGGGGGGGGTCCCTTTGGCTGAGATGTGAGTCCACTGCGCGGGGGTACAGGTGATGATCATGTGCACTTTGATCTGTGAGCATCTCGATCCTCAGAACCCAGAGGACACACCACTCTTCCCAAAGTTACGTGACGCTTCAGGGCCTAAGCCTTGACCCTTATGCCATGCCATGGCACTGAACCCCTCACAATCCCATCTTCAGCATCGCGACAGGCAATAACGCTGCAAACACCCCGCTCCGAATGCGAGCGTCAGGAAGGGTCCTGAGGAAACAGGATCTGAGGTTGGGCTTCTTGCTTCTGTTGCTTCTGCTTGAGCGTGCTGGTGGGGGGACTGTTGACTTCCATCTGGGATTTTCGCTTCAGGGTTGGGGTGTTACAACCCGAAAAAGCCCAGGTGTGATCTCTCCCAAGGGCTTGTAAGCAGCCTAGGTGCAACTTGTTTGTAAAGCCTGGCCACAGGATGATCATGCTATCATATGCTATCCTCATGAGCATCTTATACCCCAAGCAGGCCCTAGCTTCTAGGGAAGCAATCACCACGCAGTGCAGCGAGTGGTGCCTCACGCGATTCCACGAGTCTCCCTGGACACTGTCATGTTATCCACTGCGTCTCACGACGCTCTCGAACGCAGGCCTTAATAACACCAGTGCCCTTGACTAGACCAAGCTCTCCACGGGCAGGACCCTGCATCGCAATTCGAATTAGCTCCCAAGTAATCGGCTATAGCGAAACGGGCGAAGAGGGAAGCCGCTCTTAAGCCGAAGAACCCTCTAAGCAAATTCGCACTGCGTCCGGACTTGCTGTCCTCGTCCAATAGACTGCTACAGTCACAGCCCTAGAGCCTGACATCCTAAACACAATATGCCTGGAACGAAGAGGTCAAAGTCAACAACCCAATCCCTGAAACTGAAACCTAAACCACTGCAGCTTAAAACCGTCAGCAAGACAACCCTAAGATGCAAAGGCCGAGCTGTAACGCCCACGAATACGCCTGAAACACCACAGAAATCGCAAGACGTTCTCTGCTTGCCCAGGCTCGCTCGGCCCGCGGCGTGGCGGTCATCCGTTCGAAGGAGTACCTTGAACTGTAAACGTTTTGGGAAAGCGTTGATTGGCTTTTGTATTGGGGGCGCAATAAGTAGAACAAAACTTGCTTACAAGTACAACTGCGTACTGACTTTATGAGGAGATTGCTGCTAAACACTACGTTTTGTTGATAGATTTGCTTTCTGATTGCAGGACGGTGCCGTCCCCTAACATGTGCCGCAATACACGGTCTAGGTAGCCTCATCGAACAATTTGTTGGAGGTTTTTGGGTTTGGGGTCAAACACTTCAGGCGTTCAAGTTTACAGTTTACAGGGTCCAAATATCACCACACCCGAGACTGTCATATCCTAAATACTTCTCTTCACCAGCCTGGAGCTGCAGAATCCCAGTTTTCCGCTTCCACAGCGAGCTTCTAAGCATATGAGAGGAGCCTGAGTATCTAGAATAGGGCTTAGGGGGTACGTCAGTAGGCAGGCTGCTACATTCCCCGAAAAGCCTCCTACTCTCATTCCCGACAATTACTAACCTCCTATAGATGTCCAATACCCTCAACCCTTATAGACCCCTTCCAAGCACAAGCGAAGCAAGGGCACGTGGTCTGCAAGTGGCCGAGCCTCTGCTTGCTTCTTGGGCGGAGCCGTACTTACTCAGACTCAGAAGGTTCTAGGGGGCCTAGGAACCACCTTTTCGGTGTTAAGTTAGGGTTTTCGATTGAAGGCTGGGGGCTTAGCGTCAAAGCTTCAGGGTTTAGTTTGAGATTTAGCGTTGAGGGTGTAGCGTTTCAAGACCATGTTGGAGTAAAGGAACTGTGTTGTGAGAGCAGTTTTTGTCCTGGCGTTTACAACCATGCTTGCATCCGATATTGGAGGCTTCGGGGTAAATGCTTTCAGTATCTGTGAATGCAACCGCTCCGTTCAATTCCGAATGGTGCCCTGGTAGGGACTTGCAGGGGGTTGGCTCCGAAACTTCAACACCCTGAAGCCCTGTTCTGCGACAGTAGGGTTGGAGCCGCACTCTTTTCAATACACCTTTAAAGTCAAACCTTGATCCCTGCAGCCCCAAAATCTAAATCCTGAACCCTCCCCAAACCCCGAAACCCAGGGGGCTCAGGCCGTGACATTCCCTGGTCCACGCAAGAGCGGAAGAACTGGGTCTGAGGCCGCGAGGTTTTTAGCGATTCGGCTTCGGGTTTTTGGAGTTTTGGGTTGGGATTGCAAGGGTGTGGGATTCAAAGCTTAAGGTTGTGGTCTAGTTTCAGGAGGATAAAAGGATGGGATAGGAATGTGGGGTTTAAGAACGAACAATGTTTGTATTAGAGGGGTAGCGTTGAAAGGAAGGGACTACATCGCGATCTAGGTGCGTATATACCTTCTGTACCAACGTAGGCAGAAGGATCCCTCGCATGATGCCACATGATTCGACCAGGGTCCTGCGCGTTGTTCTAAAGTAAGTAAGGAATACGATCAGCAATTCTAGACCCGCCCCCATATTTGAGAACCGCCCGCTGGTGCCTTTAGGATGGGTTGCAGCCCCAATCGGCCAAGGCATGCGACGCCTTCAGCGCCGGGACCTTCGCCTTATTCAGGAGACATGCGGGTAGTTGCCAAAACTATACTTTTTGGGTACCCTAAATATTAGGTGCGGTAGTATAATAGGGACCCAAAAAATAAGGACCCTTATTTGGACAACCACCCATGTATTTTGGTTTAGTGGTTTAGGGCTTTGGGTTTGGGGGTTTCAAGATTTACGGGCTACGAGTTTGGTCAGGGATTGGGCTGTAGGACATGTTTGATCTAGGCTGCAGGGGAGTTAAAAAGGTTCTAACCTGAAAGCTCTACTGGCTGGGCGCGTGTCAGTCGGGTTTGGCCGCTCCTATTCCAGGCATCCCGGGTCACAGGTAGTCTCTTCCGCATCTCTTAATGTCTCAAGGGCTTCATGCTTTTATGGGGGCCTTGCTTGTCAAACTAGGTTTCGGGGTACACTGTAGTACATCAGGAAGCCAAGGAATAGTATTAACAACTACTCGGACTTCTGCAATTTTTTGGTGATTGCCTGCCGGGTTATACGGGACTCTCCACGGGTCGTCCTGTGGTCTACGATGGCTTACGGTGGGATTTTGGGGTTTAGGCTTTCTGCAGAACTTGATGAATGCACCCCTGTTCTACGCGCAATGACTATTGGGACACTCGAAGAAACAGAAACCGCAGACCACAAACCCTGAAATTGGTCCTCTAAAGCAACCTAAAGCCCTAATAAACCCTTAAAGAATGGCCCTCCTAGGAACCCTTAAAGCACTTAAAGAAACCCTGCAGCCTTCCAGAAGAAGGCTTCCTGTGGCGAGGACCTGCTTGGCTTTGTACCTGGGCACCGTCGAGTCGTTGCAGCCGGGGCTTCGAGGTAACGCTGTCGGGTTTAGGTTTTTTTTGTCACTCGCACTCGACAAGTCAGACGAGGTTTCGGGGATTTCACAACGGCTTCAGGGTGTACAGTAACTAGCAGGGTTTAGTACATTAAAGGCTAATGCTGAATGATGCCTGAGAATACAAGTAGAGCAGGGTGCTGGCGGTGGATGTACAGCTTGCTGCCTCAGTAGGTGCGTCCGTAAGTGCGAACCTCCCAAACCGAAAAAGCGTCTAGAATATACGTCCGTAAGTGCGAAAACCCCAAATCGAAAAAGCATCTAGAATAAACCGATGTCTGTATCCATGTAAGTTCGGGAACTCCACATCCCCCGACATTCAGCGCAACATGGCAGTGCCCGGTTCCAGGCGGAGGCACATTGCCCATTCGCCACAGTCCGAAGACTGCGCGCGCACTCGCTGCGCATCGCCGCGGGGGATGCCCACCTTGTGAGCTTCAATGCCCTTATTGACTTGTTGTTTTTTGGTTTTACGGGGTTTTAGGATGGTTTGGGCAGCATGCAAAGGTATCTAGATGTATAGGGTTTAAAGTGTAAATATGTCTTTGTCGTTAGAACTCGGGCACAGAATATGTCGGCAGCAGGCAGGAGTTGTCTGGGGCCAGCTTCCAACTTCCTATATTTGTTGGGGGTTGCAACCCAGATCTCCGGAGCATCCAAAAAGCAGATCCCGTAAGGATGACCATTGACATAATAGTAGAGTGTCCAAATTAGAGCCAAATTTAGGGGATGTGCTGTTGACATCCTCTCGGGTGGCTGGGAAGGAACTGTATGTACCTCTGACATCTCACATTTCATCCTGTAGGGTGGAGCAGCTCACTGTCACTCTATGAGGTACAGCCATCATTGCTTGTCATACACGCACCAATACGATGATGAGACCTTCTTTGCATGATGAAAACCAACCTTTTCATGTTCAGGCCCCTGAAATAACACACACACACACACATATATGTATATGTATATGTGTGTATATATATATGCATGTACCTATGCCTGTACATACGTATACATGTGTATATGCTTCGGCTTATAGTTGTTTATGTTGGTATTCGGGCCCATATGTTGGGTCCGCAGCCACAAGAAATCCGCTGAGGGGCCCAGAGGTCACTGGTCGACTGTAGCTTGTTCTGCTCGGTGAGCCTCGCATCACCGGACCGGGCCAGGGCTTCAAGAGCAGACGCAAGCCGATACAATACCGGAAGCTAGGAATGCGCAGCGTTCTGGCCTTGTGCAAATGGTGACATGGTTCGGCACAGATCCAGATGACCCTCAACAAAATTTGCTGCATGACACCTAGCGATGGCTTCGGCGGTAGTCATGGACAATCGCCGGCCATCCGTGTCCTGCGCCGGGAGCTTGAAACCTACAACATGTCTGCAACAGTTTATCTGTGGATGCCACATGGGAGTTTCCGAAAAGAGGCGAGCCCAAATAGAGTACCCTCAATAGTAGAATCCCTATTATAAGGACACCATAAGGTAGTAGCCCTAATTTTCGGAAACTCCCACATCACACGCCACATCTAGCATCAAGCACTCGGGCCTTCGAGAAAGGTTGCAAACCTCAATTGCCTACTATTCCTCATGACAGAATGAGAAATGCCCTGGTTCCTTGTCTTCATGGCAGGGCTGTATATACCAAAAGGCCACCGGCTCAAACACTAACCCAAGTCAAATTCCCTCCACTATTAGTGAATGAGTGCTCCTGAGCTCACTTATGAGAAGCTATCCGGGTGCTAGAGCTACGCAGTACGAGTACAAAGTAGGTTCACTGGCGTATGGTGGGAATTACTGCCGTAACTTGAGGGGTGGGTGTCTTTCCCCTCCCACATTAACCCTTGACCGGTAAAACCCTGGAGCTCGATACCCAAACCTACGTGCACAACCCTAAGCTCCATGACCTTGAGAATCTTAGAGCCCTGTGCCCTCAGCCCTGAGACCTGTCCTTCTCCTGAGAAGCAGGGTCAGAAACACGCTGGATGACGCTCGCCCTCGGGCTGGCGTCGGCCTCGAAAACCTGACTGCAACAGAAGGGGCTGTAGCTGTGGGTTTTTTTCGGGTTTTAGGGGTCGCCTACCTGGTGCTCTAGGTGCCGGGGAGCTGGTGTGTTGGTTGTATTTTTGTTCTTGATTGGGTGCTGCTGAAAGGTTTCGGATTGCAAAAAGAACGACCCCGCACTGGCATACTGTTTAGCTGAAACGAGCTGGTGCCAGCGTCAACTTCATTCTCCGTCCGCTATTTAGCCTCCAAGGTTTCATTCGCAGACCGAGGCATGACTTGTTTCTTAAACATTCTATGAACTGAAAAGACCGACACCCTCGAACTTAGATCCTCGAAACAATTGCTGCTCAAGGTCTCGGCCATACCCCTGCACACTCACTTCCGTGGTCATGTTTCAGCAAGTTTCGTCTGTATGGCCTTTCAGGTGTATTCAATCTCACCAGCAAAGCACCAGGAAAAGTCAACAGAGCCAGTTAGAAACCTTAATGTGGCCTTTCAGAGGCCCCACTTAGAAAACCCTGCCAAAGCCCGCAGAAAACCCTCAAAAAGGCACAGACGAAATAACTACCATATCTAAACCCCTGAAAAGTATACTGGTACTAAGCTAAAGCTTACTTAAAGCCGCAGAATTACCCCCAAAGTCCCAAACACAACCTCAAAGCAACGAGCTGAAGGCCTCCCAGAAGGGGCCGACAGCCGCGCAGCCACCCAAGCCGACGGCTGAGTCCGCAGGGTTCTGGAGCCTTCTTTCTTCTTCGAGAGTTTGAGGGTCTATAGGTCCTAGGTCTACAGTAGAAGCCCAAAAGTTGCAATCCTTAAGAGTAATGTATAGGGAATCCCAGCACTGTTTGAAAGTTTGACCTTATTCTCGTTTCCAACCTTATGGGGTTTACCGTAGCTTGTTTGGGGCTTCAGGCTTTAGGGGTTTAGAGTTTAACTCCGGTGTTTTGCTAGCTGCCTTGATTGAATTTTTGTCCTATGGCCGAGATGTGCTGAGTTCATTTGGACTGACTGCGTGTTGAGCTTGCGATTGTTGGCTCAGGGTTTAGACGAGTCGAGAGCCTGAAATAATCAACTCCCCATCCCCAAGCAGTAAATGCCAAGCAAACGCAAAACCCTGCGCCCCCAGCTCACAACCTCAACCCAGAATTTCTCTGAGCCCTTTCAACCCGAAAGCCCGGCCCTAAACTCCAAATGGACCCAGTTGTCCTGATCCCTCAAGCCCAAAACTTCCTTTGAACTGAGGAGCAGGATACCCAGCAGCCCGCCCTGCTTGATACCACCATAGCGGCCGCCGAGGTACATGGCGCTTCCTTCAACGGGTGGGGCTGGGGGTCCCCTATCATCATGGGAATGGGGGAGCTTCTGGGCCTTGAATCGGAGTATTTAGGATTAAGGATCGTGTTCAGGAGGGATGCAAATGCGAGTTTAGATTCAAGGGCTGGAATGCCGCATTTTTGAAAGGACCTCAGGGTCGAGTGCTTTGGGGTTCCAGGGCCATTGGGCACTTCAGCATCGGTGGGGGCACGTCCAGTGACTACGGGTTCGGTTTTGAGGCTTGGGGACTTGGGAGCTTGCATGTCTGGTGGTTACATGAACGAAGAGATTCAGGATCTTGGGTTTGCCGCACAATACACAGGGATGGCGCTACAATGTTCGAACCTCCTACAGTGCCTTTTCGGGGTTGGCAGGCGTCTGTCTCCCTTGTCGTGCCTAAGCCCGCCCCCCTTCAACAACAAAAGTTGGCCCAACACCAACAAAAAGCTGACATTCCGCATACGTTTACGGTCCAGGTCGACACTACATCGAAAGCCAAAGGACCCTTTTCTCTATGTTTTTGGAATGTAAATAGACTCTGAACTGAAACCTTGCAATCCCAAGCCCGAGAAACGGTGGCCCTAGTAGCCTCCACTCCCGTAACCTAGAATCCTATAGAAGCCCAGCCAGTCCGAGGTTACGGTTAAGCTGTTCAGGTCAAGGGTTGTGACTCCCCAAGCGTTTACTAGATTCGGAGGACTTATGCAGAGTGGCTTGGACTTGGTAGGGCTCTTTGGAGATCGATAGTCAGTCATGATTTAAGCGTCGGGGTTGTGAAGGGGCATTATCCGAGAACTGGCAACCACATCTTGATGGCTATCTACGTCATTGATCATTGGTCGAGGAAAACCCAACCGTTGAGCGTAATGCAACATGTCCAAAATACCGAAACTCAAGTCTGTTGTTCGCAGCCCGGAAGCCTTGAACGGATCAGAAACGTTGTCGCACTGCGGCAGTATACCAAACCCTCATCGACAAAGGTTGCAAGGGAGCGAGGCTGCAGCACCACTCGCTCGTATTGCTGTAAGCCCCTACATGCATCTCAACATCCTAGACTCTGCCGCCAAACATGCATCTCAACATCCTAGACTCTGCCGCCAAGGCTCCAGAGGTCTGTAGGCCCAGTTTCACCGCCTTGAAATACCTGACGCGGCAGAGCCGAACACGAGGCTCTAAACAGTGTCGTGGTACCAAGGCGTGGAAGCGGCCATCTCAGAAGGCGAACTCGCAAACCGCACGGGTGCAAAGCTTCAACATAGTGGAATTTACAAGGCCTGGGCGAGGATCTCGGTAGCGACACCCCTGCCCCTGCGCTATCTCCCGAGTGTACCCCGGCAATTTGCCTCTAGAGGCCGGCATCATTAACCTTCACGAAAAAGAGGCATTTGGCTCCTCAGGGTTTTCACGACTTCGGTGACCCTGGAGTTCACACTGAGCATTCCTTTGGTCAAGGTCCCGTGCCCTGAAACCTCAGGATTTGTGTGGGTGCTGTGTAAAGGTAGGGTTTTAGCGGCTGAAGTAACGGCTGTAGAATATGTACAGTTGCAGGTGCAGGTGTCAGCTTAGGAGTTCGGGCGTTAGGATGGAATCTGCAACGCCCCAAGCCTGAACCCTAACCCCTAACCCCCCCCCCCCCCATGCCCAAACCACAACACTGCCCCGAATCCAAGAAAGCCAAGGCACGCGGCGTCCAACAGGCCCAGCCCTTGATGGGTGAACTCTGCCTCTGGATTGGTGCGTGCTTTGGCTTTCGATTTTTGCGGGCTTTGCTTGCTGGTGAGATGTTCCGCGATACCACCACTGCTACTGCTACTGGTGATGCTGCTACTGCTGCGAGAATCCGGAAGCGACCCGTGGCCTCAGCAGCCGGATCGGCAAACACGAGCCTGGAGACGGGAAGCGCTTGGGGTGCCGCTAGGGTGCTTGGTGTGGGATGCCTTTCCTGGCTATGTGGTTTAGGGTTTTGGGGGCGGTGCGTCGTAGCTTGCCGATGAAGGCCCTGCTTGAGTGTGGTAGATAGCGGGGCGCAGGATGGGAAGCTGTCATGGAAGGCTGCGTGTCTAGCAGGACTGAATGGCTGAACGAAGGTGTACCTGCGCCTTACGTGGATGATGGAAGAATCTACGGTACCGGAACCAAGAATCGTGAACTGCAAGCCTTAGGCGCAACAACCCAAAACCTCGCTACACCCTGTTCTCAACTCAGCCTTGACTAAACTCTACACCTTATAACTCCGAACCCCTCATCCGAGCATGAAAAATATATACATGCATACCCAAGTCTATCTATAAACAAAGATGCTACACACACACACACACATATATATATATGTATATATAGGTAGGTAGATATGCATGAACCTTATATGAAGCCTGAAAGAAGCCAGACTTACGAACCCCGAGCCCTCCACGGAAACACACCCGGACCGGGCGAGCTGCAGACTCCCAACGTCGTGCGGACCGCGCTCCTGCATCTGCCGACATGCAACCTGAGAACCCAACGAATATAGGGTTTAGGGTTAAGGGTTTATTAGGGTTTAGGGTTATATAAGGGTTTGTTATAGGGTTTAGGGTTTGGCGTTGAGGGTCTAAGGTTTAGGGCTTCGGGTTTATGGGTTTTTGGGGCGTTTAGGGTTTAACTAACTACATATACGATTTAGGGTTTTTTGGATTTATAGGGTTCGTAGATCAGGGTTTCGGCGCTCACACTCGGTCAATCCAGGCGAGGCATGTGGTTCGGAGTCTGCTGAGTGAGACAAACCTAGAGGGAGCGTCAAATCATCCCCTACATACCAACAAAAGTTTAGGGCTTCGGGTTTAGGGCTCAGGGAAGCATTGAATCCTTACTTTTGCCAATAACAGTTTAGGGTTGGGGTTTAGGGTTAAGGGTACCAACTAACAACATAATATACATCCTGAGACGGGTTTATGGTGTTGTTTGTTGTTTTTCAGGGCTTAGGGCATAGGGGTTGTAGACTGGCTTGGAGACTTAAGTGTATAGCATCAAGGAAACAAACCCAAGCCCTACACCTTGTTATTTACGGGCTAGGCTTTAAAAAGGTCTGCTGGCTGGAATCCAGGACACTACAGTTCCGTTGGTGCGGCCGTTTTCCTGCCAGTACTTCGTGTAGTACTTGTTGCCTGAGCCAAGCCGGAAAAGCGTGCAGTGCTTCAGGAGCTTAGGGGTTTTAGGGTTGTTTTTTCAAGTTTGACATGTGCCCTTTCCTCCTCTTCCGCGGCACCGGCGTTTGGGGCCCCAGGGTTTAAATCGGGGTTTGTGGGTTTAGGGGTTTGGGGATTTTCGGGGCTTGGTGGCTTCTGGCTTCTGCCCACAACCTTCCTTGGAGGGCAGAGTCTCCCAATGAGTGAACCCTGAACCCGAAGCGATCTTCTCGCCTAGGAACTTGCCTCTGGCCCCGACTAAAGAACTTGTACAACATCCGAAGGTTCGTGGGATTGAAGTATTGTTCAGGGGCTCGCATTTAAGATTTCGCTGATGATTCAAAGGGACATTTGAGGAAGGCTGTCCTGCTGTGGCTCCTATTCGGCTATGCCGTCCGGAATGCCTTGCGACGCGGGACAGTGTCAGAGCATGCTCGGTTGCACAGCAGGGCTGTCCCTTTCGATGTTCAGGTTGCTTCTATATACGGCTATAACTACTGGGCATATACAACATGGCGAAGTCTAAAGCCCTGAGCCCGAATGCATCAACTTCAAAGCATGATGCCGGGTGTTACTCTTGTCCAGTGTCGAGCCCTTCCACCCTCACAGAACACGCAGCAGAACCCTTGACTCTCGAAGTACTACAAGCACGCTAATCTACGTCCTGCTGACCTAAGGCTGACCTACTCCACATGTGCGTCAAGAGGCCGCTGTCTAATTGCTCCTGCAGTCGGTAGCCTCGGAACCGCCGTAGTCTTGGAAAATGGGGGCCTTGCTAACTAGAATAGGGTTTATACTACAATCAATGTATAAGGGGCTGAAAAGGGTGCCGCCACTCATGAATTCGACCCCTGCAGGGCCATACTCCGGAGAAACAAGTTTTGTCGCAGTTATGTTGGCTTTGATACAGCGGCCTCAGTAAACATAGGGAAGCGGTTTGGCTTCTGCCAGGCGGCAATTACAGTATGTGAGGGCGAAGAACAAACACTCCTGGCAGATCATTCAGCCCCTTACATGAGAGAGAGAGAGCTATTTTGGCCCTTCCGTTTTGCAGGGTGCTTGGATCTGACAAAAGAAACTATGCCGTAGGAAGTTATGACAGGGTTTAGGATTGTAGGTCTCTCTTCTTTGATAAACGTGTCGACACATTCGGGGTACTAGCATCATCAGCAGCATCGCAGCGTTTTTTGGGCTTGCCCGGATTCTCCACTGCCATTTCTGACTCCTCTATGTTTATATGTACGGCCATCGAGATGGAAACCGCGCGGAACATGGAAGATGAGGTCTAGCCAGGATCGCTCCGAGTCACCTTCAGCACCGGCTTCTTCGAATTCGCGGGGACCAAGGAAAAACGCCTCGAAAGATTGCAGGCCGAATCCAAAATTTCGGACATGTGGCTCGTGGCATGTCAGGGTGGCCCAACAACAGGCCGTAACTTGTAATTGGAACCCAGTGGTGACGTGATTGAAGCTTCTACGAGGCTTCGGGTACAAGCCTTGCCCTTCAAAGTGATTCGCGAACCATGATGCCAAAGCCAATGTACTAAAACCATATAACTATATATAGTTGTATTGTATGCGACTCTTAAGGGACAGAGGGCGGGAACAGAAGGGCCTTGGATGCTTGCATGTCATTGAAGGCTGCCGGGCCATCGCATCCGCACGTTAACACTAAGAGTGTATTGTACATGCTTCCGCTTACAGCATCTTCTACTGTTGACAAATGCGAGAAGGGGTGTATTATCACACAAATGGAAAACAATTGCCGGGTGTTCCGGCCTGCAAAGTAGGGTTCCTATAGGGCCCGCCACCATACTCGAGGACCATCATGCTAAACTGTGGCTGAACCAGGGCTACTGCCGTAGAGACTAGATACATCCTCTATGAGCTCTGAATCCCAGAACCTCTAAGAAATCAAACCTCAACTGACAGAACACGCACGCGCCTGGGGTGGGAGGGCCTCTTTGGGCAGCTGGACGGTGAGAAGCATCAGGGTGGCTCCCTCCGGCGTGTGGCAAGATGGGTTGAGACTTACGATTTTGGGGTTCGGCGCTTTTGGGCTTCTGATCTGTGCTCTCACACGCAAAATCTTCAAGCTTGTGGCTAAGGGACTAACAGCGTGGTGGTTTGGAGAGGCAGAGACGGGAATGCCATCCTCGGATCTTGTTTTGTAATCACACCCAGCTTACACACCTGCTTCCTAGTAATTACATCGTATCGAAATCCGTATTCAGAACCCAATTCAGTTCTGAAGTCCTAAACCGTATATGTTTGTACTAGCTCTGGTTTGGCACCTGTGTTGGCACTGCCAAGAATGGCATTGACGTCGGCCAACCTGCATGTGGCAAGCTTTGAGTTCAAGGGCTTAAGTGAGGGACCTGCATGATTGGAATAAGGCTTTGGGATATAACATACTACAATAGTACCGTAACAAGGAACCCAATGCAATAGTGTGTGATCAAGCTTCTGTGGCTTCGGCCTGTCTCCGAAGCCCTGCGCCCAGCTACCCAGGATCTCGGGGTTTGAACCTTCTAGGCTACGCTCCAAGGACTTGCCATACGCACTGGATTCAGTTTGCACAATGTATTTCGCAAGAATAATCATGTGTGAATTATCAGGGCCTCAATATTCGGGTCTGCCAGAATGATTTCAATAGGGTGTTAAGACGGGTTCCTGTTCAAGGGATCTACCAAAACGTTACGAAAAGGGTAAGTAGAAGGGCAACAAAATAGTATAGAGGCCTGAATGATTGGAATGGGTGTTGGGGTACCCGACTGCCTTATACTATGAGTCTACCGCGACCATAAGGGGATGCTGCGAGCGAGTATTCCGATCTCAACAGTAGGCTTTCGGGCTGTGTGAGCAGTTTGTTCTCCATGAAGAACGATTGCGGTTCAGGGCAAGTCTGGGTCATGGTTGGGGGCTTTCGGTTTGAGGCTAAATAAGAACTAGCCGTGCGACTTTGGCCGAAGGACTCAAACGGCCATGCGACCTTCACTCGGGAAGTTTCTGGCGTGGTTTAGGACAGCTCCTCAACAAAAGAGCAGCCCATGCCCAAGACAGGGTGAACCCTGAACATACAAAGAAGAAGAAAGTGTGGCACATTGCAGTCCATAGTCTAAATTTTTTGAAATCCCCCAATCCCAACTCCTGAAGCCTCAAATTCATGCTGCGCCGTTTAGCCGCTTAGCCCACACTGCCAAACGAGCTCCGCCTATGGAGGTTTCGAGTTCGCGCGCAAGGCGCTCGATCTGCGCGGCTTTGGCCTTGCTGCAGAAAGGGGCAAAGTCCTAAGCCTCAGGCTGATCCTGCTGTAGGTCCTTGCATTACCGTGCATGACATTGTATGTGCCAATACCTTCGCACTTGGCGCAAAGATGCGACGTGCATTGACATTGGATTCTATGTAACAAGCTCGACATATAAACTGTCAGGTGGCGATGTAAAAAAGCTGTCCCTGAACCCTATAGTATAGGGGCCTTAATAATTGGAGTGGATTTTGGGGCCAATTATACTATAATTATAAGGAACCCCAGAACAGTATAGGCAATTACTAAGGCCCCTATATTACGCCGCCAGAAACGACACGCAGACCCAGACCCAGTCGAGGCAGCGATGCCTGAGGAACGAAGACGAGGGCGAAGCCCGAGAACTTCTCGCCAGAACGGGCCTCCGTGTCCCAATGCAGGGTTCCTCAATACCCATAATAACGACTTAATAAGACCTGTTTGAGGAAGTAGCCCCCTAAACTCCCTCCCTCCTACCCCCGCAAGGGTCCCTATGAGTTCCTTTCGGGCGTCACAGCCCGAGCCCTGAACCGAAATTGTACTTTCGCTTGTGCCAAAAGCGATGTTCACAAGAGACTCCCGGCGCCGAGGTGCTAAAACCGAATCCACAAGCTTCAGGCTCCTCTAGACACAGATTTCCAGGCCCACAGATCCTGGTTTCTATATTTCACAAGACACAGGTCGTCATTACGCCATGCCCTCCCTCGAACGCACTGGCAGTTAGCATAGAAGCACAAAATCAAAACACCTACAGTAATCCCCGAAGCCAGGAAGCAGAGATCGAAAGAACCAGACCAGCTGAGAGATTCGGCTTTAGGCTCGAGGCCTTCAGTTTAGGTGGTCAGACGAATGACGATACGAGTAGTTCATTTGGCCATTGCAGCCCTTCGGCTTCTCATGAACATGGCCAGGGCCATGGGCATGGTGGCAGTTCTGATGATGATGATGAAGGGTTTAGGGTTTTTTTTGAGGGCTCGTTTGCGTCTGCACGAGGGTCCGGCCTACGCAAGCCTACTTGAGGCAAGCAAATTCAGTCACCTTACGCATCTCCGCTTACAAGCAGAAAAAGCGAAGTGAAAGACTGAACCCCTGTCATCTCAGACAGAGCCATGCAAACGGAAAGCAAAGCGTGGAAGATTCTCAACAACACCTTGCTCCGCAATCGTCAAACCTTACCACACGTCAGTCATACCTTATAAAGCATGGGAATTCGAAAGATTCGTGAAACATCACTCAGGTCACCCATGTTAGATAACCACATCAGAGCTACGGCTTGCTCACGTGCATTCAACCATACGCACTACCAAGAAACTATCCACTTTGCAGGCTCATGCGTATCGGCAGCCGTCAAGAATGATTCGCAAGGGCACGATTTGCCCTGAGTGCCATTGCTCACAGGTCATCCCCCTTACATCATGCCAGGCCTTGTTGCGTCTCCATCTTGACCAGTCTCTAAAGTCGTGTCCCGACCAACTGCTCCAACCACGACCATGCCCCCGATGTTGAAACCACCGTGGACGCTTGAACGTTTAGGGTTTAGGGTTTAGACGGGAGAGGATCATAATGAAGAGAACTCTGCAACTTGATCTCACGCTGTAGCTGATGATTCTGGCGGCTGTGACGACGACGACCAATCAGGACTATGATTTTGTCCACTCTGTTCGTGACTGCAACAGACTTCACCAAAATTAAGCTGTTTAGGAGCAACCCCTCATGTTTAGAGGGAGCTAACTTACAGAGGTGGCAGCTGTCTGTCCGATATGCCACAAGCAGGATGCTGTGTTAGAGGTTCGCTGCATTGGGGCTTGCGCTTGCATCTGCAGTTCACTAGGCAAGAAAACAAATACGCGTGTTTTATCGAAGGATCGTATGGAAAAAAGTTCTATACCTCGAAGCCAACCTCCACACCCCCTGGCAGACTGTGCTTTACATAACACACCAATCAAACGAGAAGCGAGCATCACAAACAAGGCCAGGAATCGACGTGCACGTAACCTTGGCAAGAGGCAGTGTCCACAGCGCGCAAGGCCACAGCAGCCTGAGGGTGGCGTCTTGCGTGCTGTATTGGGGTTCAAAACTAGAGTAAAGTGTTGCGATGTATTATTATACAATACTTGTAATGAGGAAGTCGATAAACAAAGTTTTTTAGGTCCTTAACCCGAAGCTTGACATGTTCAGGCATAGGCTGCCAGAGAAAAGAACTTTCGAGGTTCGACCACCTTCTTTAGTTCCAGGACTGTGGGGCTGGGTTCCAAGGCAGACTTTCCATGCAAATCTACCAATACCCTCAACCCTGAATCTAATCCTAAACCCACTCCCGACCATAACTACACCAGCCCGACAGACCAGAAGTTCTGCAAAAGTGCAGCTGCAAGCATCACGTTCAACCCTGAAGGGAACCCGTCGAATTGAATTGGTACGAGATCTAAGCGAGTCAGAGAACTCCGAACCAAACTTCAGGATTCCGATTCGGAGCTATGTCATACATCGACACACACGCAAAGGTATACCTTCGGAACCCAGAGGTCAGAGCCCTGGGGGTGCTGTTCCTGTGGTGGCATAACCCCAAGAACAAGTGTGAAGCAAGACTTCACCGAATCTAGCAGCTATCCCCCGGCCTTGCGTAAATCCGATGCCACCGCCCCACGGCGCTTCGAAGCCTTGAGTTTCGGAGCTGCCGGAGTAAAGTGGCTTGAGCCTTGAGGCTTTCTGCGTTGAGGATTTGGACTCAGGACTGAGATGGGGGATGTGGTATGCATCAGTTTGAACCATCAGTTTATGGTTTCAAGGGCTCTCCGTCCAAGGTACTCCAAACCACGAAGCCACTAAAAGCAGTCAGTGGAGTAGAAATAGTTTAAGCTTGGGGATTTAGCTTCTCAGCTTCAATCGCCAACCTCATTTGCGCCAGGATATTGGGAGCTTCGCTCAAATCGAGAACCCGTCGCCAAACATACGCATGGTGAAAGAAGTGCACCCCAAAACAGATAAACCCTGAAACTCCAGACCCGGGCCGCGATGAAGCCTGAAACCCTAACAATCCGTGAGCAGTAAGCACTAACTCTTTGAACCAGGAAACAGCGAAAAAACACTAAAGTGCCCTAAAACCCGAATGTTATAGGGCCGCAAGAGTTAGAAGAGGGTTCTGGGTTGCGTTCATGGGTACTGAGGCTCTCCTCTCCAAAAGAAGGCTTCTGTGTCGTTTCAAGATGCCTTCCATGCCTCATCCGGCGCTGGCCTGTGGCTGGAGGGATGCTGAGGGTCATCCCAGGTTTTTGGATCAGGTTAACAAGAAGAGGCTTTCGTGAGGGAACTATAACAACGGCATCAGCTTGAAGGTATGAGGTCTGACAAGTTAGAATTTGGCTTTGAGGTACATTATGGTATACGCATATGTACGTAGGACCTTTAGGGTCTATTTGACGTATGGCTTTGCTTTGTTTATCAATACTATATCAATTCAGGCTTTTCAGATTTTAAGGATTTTAAAGATTTCAGATGCTTTTAAAATCTTTTATTTTTGAAAACCAAGCTTTTCAGATTTTAAAGATTTTAAAGGCTTTTGCAATCTTTAAAATCTTTAATTTTTGAAAACCAAGCTTTTCAGATTTTAAAGATTTTAAAGATTTTTAAAATTTTAAATAGGTGTCGGTGGCCTGGAGCCCAGACCTAACGATTTAAAATTTTATCTTTAAAATCTTTAAAATCTTTAATTTTTGAAAACCAAGCTTTTCAGATTTTAAAGATTTTAAAGATTTTAAAGGCTTTTAAAATCTTTAAAATCTTTAATTTTTGAAAACCAAGCTTTTCAGATTTTAAAGATTTTAAAGGTTTTAAAGATTTTTAAAGTTTTAAATAGGTGTCGGTGGCCTGGAGCCCAGACCTAACGATTTAAAATTTTAAAAATCTTTAAAATCTTTAAAACTTTAATTTTTGAAAACCAAGCTTTTCAGATTTTAAAGATTTTAAAGATTTTAAAAGCTTTTAAAATCTTTAAAATCTTTAATTTTTGAAAACCAAGCTTTTCAGATTTTAAAGATTTTAAAGGCTTTTAAAATCTTTAAAATCTTTAATTTTTGAAAACCAATCTTTTCAGATTTTAAAGATTTTAAAGATTTTTAAAATTTTAAATCGTTAGGTCTGGGTTCCAGGCCACCGACACCTATTTAAAATTTTAAAAATCTTTAAAATCTTTAAAATCTTTAATTTTTGAAAACCAAGCTTTTCAGATTTTAAAGATTTTAAAAGCTTTTAAAATCTTTAATTTTTGAAAACCAAGCTTTTCAGATTTTGAAGATTTTAAAGATTTTATAGATTTTTAAAATTTTAAATGGGTGTCGGTGTCCTGGAGCCCAGACCTAACGATTTAAAATTTTAAAAATCTTTAAAATCTTCAATTTTTGAAAACCAAGCTTTTCAGATTTTAAAGATTTTAAAGATTTTAAAGGCTTTTGAAATCTTTAAAATCTTTAATTTTTGAAAACCAAGCTTTTCAGATTTTGAAGATTTTAAAGATTTTATAGATTTTTAAAATTTTAAATGGGTGTCGGTGTCCTGGAGCCCAGACCTAACGGTTTAAAATTTTAAAAAATTTTAAAATCTTTAAAATCTGAAAAGCTTGGTTTTCAAAAATTAAAGATTTTAAAGATTTTAAAAGCTTTTAAAATCTTTAATTTTTGAAAACCAAGCTTTTCAGATTTTAAAGATTTTAAAGATTTTATAGATTTTTAAAATTTTAAATCGTTAGGTCTGGGTTCCAGGCCACCGACACATATTTAAGATTTTAAAAATCTTTAAAATCTTTAAAATCTTTAATTTTTGAAAACCAAGCTTTTCAGATTTTAAAGATTTTAAAGGCTTTTAAAATCTTTAAAATCTTTAATTTTTGAAAACCAAGCTTTTCAGATTTTAAAGATTTTAAAGATTTTTAAAATTTTAAATAGGTGTCGGTGGCCTGGAGCCCAGACCTAACGATTTAAAATTTTAGAAATCTTTAAAATCTTTAATTTTTGAAAACCAAGCTTTTCAGATTTTAAAGATTTTAAAGGCTTTTAAAATCTTTAAAATCTTTATTTTTTGAAAACCAAGCTTTTCAGATTTTAAAGATTTTAAAGATTTTAAAGGCTTTTAAAATCTTTAAAATCTTTAATTTTTGAAAACCAAGCTTTTCAGATTTTAAAGATTTTAAAGATTTTTAAAAATTTAAATAGGTGTCGGTGGCCTCCACCCAGCCCCCAGCCTCTAGCTCCAGCCCCCTGACCCAGCCAGCTCCCAGCCCAGCCCCAGCCGCCCGCCCCCCCCAGCCCAGCCAGCTCTTTCTCTCTGCCCCTGCCCCCTACACCGGTTTTTGCCCCTTCCCCAGCTCCAGCGCGCCTCCCCAGCCGCCGCCCCCGCCAGCTCTCCTTCCCGGGCGCTCTCCTTCTCTGGCCCTGCTCCCTGCCCCTGCCTTTGCCCCCCCTCTCCCGCCACCCCAGTCCCAGCCGCCGGCCCCCCACCGGCCTCCACCTTCAGCCGCAGCCAGCTCTCCCTCTCTGTTCCTGCCCCCTGCCTCTCCCCCCCCTCAACCACCACTTTGCTAAGACTCCCACCCCACACCAGCCCCAACCCTCTTTTCCAGAACTCCCCAGCCCGCCCGAAGCCGCCACCAAGAAAGAGCCGCCCCAGCCGAATCCGAAAAGCGCTAAGTTGAAGAGCAGAGGTTTAGCAACTTTGCGTGACAAAATTTGGTGCGATCGGGCTGCGACCTTGTCAACGTGCTGTAAATACCACACTAAAACCGAGCAGGGGTTTAGCAACTTTGTGTGACAAAATTTGGTGCGATCGGGCTGCGACCTTGTCAAAGTGCTGTAAATACCACACTAAAACCGAGCACGGGTTTAGCAGCTTTCCGTGGAAAAACAAGGGCTAGGGATTTCACACATGCGCTGGTAAAATCTGGCGGAAGTGATCCGTGATCGAGCAGAAAGCCTGTAAATACCGCGTTAAAACAAGGGCTAGGGATTTCACACATCCGCTGGTAAAATCTGGCGGAAGTGATCGGTGATCGCGCAGAAAGCCTGTAAATACCGCGTTAAAACAAGGGCTCGGGATTTCACACATCCGCTGGCAAAATCTGACGGAAGTGATCGGTGATCACGCAGAAAGCTTGAAATACCGCGTCAAAACCAAGGCTAAGGATTTCACACATCTGCTGGCAAAATCTGGCGGAAGTGATCTCTGATCGAGCAGAAAGCCTGTATAATCCGCGAGCCCCCAGTTCCAGCCCCCAGCCCCAGCCCTCAGCCCCAGCCCCAACCCCGGCCCCCACAATCCCCCCCCAGCCCGCCTCCACCCCCCTGCCCCATGGCCCGGCCCACCCAGCTCCAGCCGCCCCCAAAATTTCAGCCAACAGCCCTGCCCAACCCCAGCCCCAGTGGCCCAGCCGCAGCCACGAATTCCAAGCTTACCAGCCCTGCCCAACCCCAGCCCAAGCCCGAAAAAGGGCCCCAGCCCCCTGCCCTTAACCCCATGCCTCTCCCCCGCTTCTCCCACCCTGCCTTGCGGTGACACCCCTTGCGATTTGTGATTTTGGAACCTATTTGTTGAAAAAGCCTTTAGGGGGACACTCATTGCGATCTGTGATTCTAGTAATGGAGTTCTTACAAAACCTTAATTAATTAGGGGGACACCCCTTGCGATTTGTGTTTTTGAAACATATTTATTACAAAAACCCTTAGGGTGACACCCCTTGCGATCTATGGTTTTCGGATCTGAGTTACAGGTGTTTTGGTGGACCACAGGTCACTTCCGCCAGATTTTGCCAGCAGATGTGTGAAATCCCTGGCCCCTGTTTTAGCGCGGTATTTACAGGTGTTTTGCTGGATCACAGGTCACTTCCGCCAGATTTTGCCAGCAGATGTGTGAAATCCCTAGTCCTTGTTTTCACGCGGTATTTACATGTGTTTTGTTCGGGCACAGGTCACTTCCGCCAGATTTTGCCAGCAGATGTGTGAAATCCGTAGCCCCTGTTTTAGCGCGGTATTTACAGGTGTTTTGCTGGATCACAGGTCACTTCCGCCAGATTTTGCCAAGCAGATGTGGGAAATCCCTAGTCCTTGTCTTCACGCGGTATTTACATGTGTTTTGTTCGAGCACAGGTCACTTCCGCCAGATTTTGCCAGCAGATGTGTGAAATCCCTAGCCCTTGTTTTCAAGTGGTACTTACAGGTGTTTTGCTGGACCACAGGTCACTTCCGCCAGATTTTGCCAGCAGATGTGTGAAATCCCTAGTCCTTGTCTTCACGCGGTATTTACATGTGTTTTGTTCGAGCACAGGTCACTTCCGCCAGATTTTGCCAGCAGATGTGTGAAATCCCTAGCCCTTGTTTTCATGCGGTATTTACAGGTGTTTTGCTGGACAACAGGTCACTTCCGCCAGATTTTGCCAGCAGATGTGTGAAATCCCTAGCCCTTGTTATAGCGCGATATTTACATGCTTTCTGCTCGGTCGCGGCTCGGGCAGGGAAGGCTGGGCGTGCGGAAGCAGGCAGCCGTGCCCACCCACCCCGTCCCATCCCACCACACACCTCACTCCACCCCACCCCTCTTTATCATCCACCTCATCATCTTCACTATCTTCCTCCTCCTCATCCCTCGTCCTCCTCCCATACCCCTCCCTCCCTCTCCCTATCCCTCCCACTACCCCCTCCCCTCACCTTCCTCACTCTCCCCCACCTCCACTCCCTCTACCTCTCCTCTTCCCCTTTCTCTCTCCTGGAATCTCCACCCTCCCCCACCCTCCCTTCTCTCCTTCTTAAATATCCCCCTAAGGTTTTGTGAAAACTCAGATCCCAAAACCACAGATCTTAAGGGGTGTCCCCAAAAGGTTTTCATGACAAGTAAGTTCAAAAATCACAAATCGCAAGGGGTGTGCCCCGCTCAGGCTTTGTAAGAACTCAGAGCCAAAAATCACACATCGCAAGGAGCGTCCCTCTAAACGCGTTTGTAAATGATCCACCCTGTCCCTCTCACTTGCCTCCTACCTCCCCCACTCCTAACTCATTCCTTACCTTCCCATCTCATGTCTCCTCACCTCCCATCACTTTTTCTCCCATCCACTCATCTTCTTATCATCTTCTTATCACATTCATCATTTTTTAATTTGTCTTATGGGGTCTATAGAGCCCATATAGAAAAGCTTCATAGATATGTAAACCTTACAGATCCTCGAGATAAAGAATTTGTAGGAACCGCTTATGT